GTGATGACTAATTCAGTCTCACCCATGCAAGCTGCAGCTTCATGCTTGTGTCATCAAGTTACAAAAATGCAAATGTAGAGGAGCATAACCTCTGGGAACGCAAGAAGCTGATTTTCACTGACTGAGCCCAGCATTTGTCCATTCTGATTGACAGAGGTCTTTCCGCTCACCTGTTACCTGCTTCTTTTAATTGGGGGCATCAGGGATTGAATCGAGGATCTCCTGCATGCAACACAGGTGCTATATGGAATCCCACAGGAATAGAAACCTCACAAAATATTCGCTTTCGTGGCTCGTTCACATTCCTCAGCTGCAGTGCAAATGAGGAAGGGAATAGCTTACACTCTTCTGGAACTACAGAAAGGCTTGGGCGTATATTCGCCACCTCTGCATTTCGGATTCCCACGTGGGAAATACAGTCAGTTCCTTAGGATTTGGTGTCTTCAGCTTTCATATTTTTAAATAAGTCATTATGATTACTAACCGAAAAGGTTGGAAGCATAAAGCCAAAGGTTATTGGATCAAAGGATGGCTGAATGTGGCTTGCAATGGCCAGAGTTTTTGTGCTCTGTACAGCTCCTTCCACTTCCCCCACATTTATTCTGGACATTCTCAAAGTGTTTCTTTCCCTTTATCTTCTTGTGCTTTGCACCTGAGTGGTTGAAATTGTGGGTCTTAAGAGGAGAAAATACTTAATAAATATATATAAAAGTGTAGACCTTTTTTACAGGCTTCTTTGACGTGTGAGGGTCGGCTTGACTGGAGTTGTCCAGAACTCATGGAGAGCTCTGCCCTTAGCACTGACCCAACAGAACTTTTATGTCTCTCACATCTAAAACCTTCAGAGGCAGCTGCCTTGATCTTAGAAGAAGAAAAAAAAGGCTGGGGAATAAAGCAAAACTGACACTCAGAGATTTGTCTTGTAAAAGTGCTTGTAATACATCTCTCTAGGGAAATAATTTCCCAAATGCTCAAAAGACACTGCAGAAGGAAGGAGCAAGGAAGGCTGAGCAGACGGGAAGAGAAAATTAGATGACGATTTTCAGAGTGATGTAATTTTGGGAAGAGGTTAGTGCAGGAAGGAAGGAAGATACAGCTGTGGGAACTAATGATTGCATGAAAATGCAGGCAACAACCCCCATGATCCTTCTCAAAAAAAACTTTCTCTATCCCCTCACCTCTTTATCTGCACCCCACAACAGGGGACCAATCATGTCTTTGTCCTCTGCAAATGTCATTTGGAACTTTGCCAGGGGGGATGCCTTGGGGGTGTGTGATTTGAATTCAAAAGAGGGGTTGGGAGACAGAGAGTTAAGGATGAGCAAAGTGTTAATTTCTCCATCAACCAGCAGCAAAGTTGTTATTTCTGGTTCTCGGAAATTTGTGATGTGCTTACATCACCACCTGCCCGCTTCTATGCCATTGGTGCAACCTCCCCAAACACACCTCATGCCAGTATCCTGAGTTAGGTGGGTCTGCAGAAGATGGGTGCTTGTGTCCTCGCTCCCCTCTCCCTGCATTCCCAGCAGGATTATGGAATTCCCGAGCTGTGATTGTTTATGTGTGCTACAAAATTGAGAGGCCGATGGCATTTTTGACTCTTCAGCAAAGCCAGAACAGCCAATTCATCCCAGGTTTCAAAAGTCAATTAATTTCCATGCTTCTAACCAACCCATTAAAGTATCACTGAATCGAGATGCTATTTTTAAGAACATTTCATGCAAAAAGAAAAGGGAGGGAGAAAAGGAGTGTGGAAAGGTTCCTATGAACCAAAACCACTCATTGTTTGAAAAGCCATTTTAGACATATTGCCTAGAATAAAAGAGATTTGTGTGGCTGACTTTAAACAACCACCTTTCACAGGAAGGCAGTTCTAACAAAAAAATGATTTAAACTCCATGCTTAAGTCCTGCAATTAATTAATGAATCGGTGTGTGACAATAAGGTAGCCAGCATGAGAAATCAGGACTAGGCTGAGGGATGAAAGGAGACACAGTTGGGAAATACTTTGACTGCAACGAAAGATCCCACCCTCATCTGACAAGGCAATGTTGTTGTTGGGGAATATATTGCAAGATGCAGAGGTATTTAAGCAGAAACTGGACAGGCTTCCGTCAGCGATGCTGTAAATTCTGGCACTGAGCAGAGGCTGGGTGAGATTACCTCAAAAGTCTTTGCTAGTTCTAAAATTCCTGTGATTCTATGTGTCCTTCATGAGCTTATGTCAGCATGACACCAAAATGTTGTCAGGCAGACCTTAGTTTCCTACACCCAAAAAGGCAAGGTGCTAATTTACCTCAGAGTAGCTACCTGTCCAGCCCTAAACAGTTATGAGAGGTTGTTAAGCAGAGATAAGTGGGACTCTACCCTAAGGGCAACTGCAGCTTATGTTTAGGGCAGGGGTCCCTGATCTTTTTGGACCAGTGGGGGCACATTTGGAAATCTAAGAAACTGTCATGGCCCTCCACAAAATATCCATTTCACAGAAGAAAAACTGGTGATGCTCAGACCTCCCCAAAGCGATAGACAGGAGGTCTACATTCTCACACATGAACTGACAGAGATAAAAAAGCAGGAAACACCCCTCAAAAAGCAGGCAGCACCCCTTAACTAAGCAACAACAACCCCCAAAATCCTCATTTAAACACACACACACGGGAGTGGCAGAGGCCATTGGCAGGGATGCTATATTGTGGACCCCAGGTTTAGGACAAGACAGAAAGAGGCAGCAACTGCCCTGGAGTAACTCTAACTAATTTGCCTAGAGGAGGAGTAACCAACATAATCTGTGCTAGATGTTGCTGGACTTTTAACTCCTATGAGCCCCAGAGAGTATGTCAAATGGTCAGGGATGATGGGAGTTGTAGAATCATAGATTTATAGAATTGGAAGGGACCGCAAGGGTCATCTAATCCAACCCCCTGCAATCCTTAGCCTAATGTGGGGCTGGAACCCATGACCCTGAGATTAAGAGTCTCCTTCTCTACCAACTGAGCTAGTTATAAAAACACCTGAAAAGCAGCACATTGACTACCACTGGCACAAAAAGATGATGTCTCCACCAGCCGCCAAGTGACACTGAGTCTCAGAACAGGTAAGCCACAGCTTCAGATTCATGGCTTCATGGGGCAGGGAACATATTAGAGGTCTGGCCGTGGGCCGAACGGCAGTGAAAGTGCAGGAGAGAGACATCCGTAACACAGGACTGGAGTTTTCACATCTCAAAGTTCCTTTGAGCCTCCCTCGCACTGCATGTGCGCATGAGTGGATGTAGCTCATGCCAGCCAGAAAGCGGAAAAGAGCCATTTAAAAAAACCGAATATACTTTCCAGCCAATATTAGTTAATATTACATTCCACATTGCAGGCCAATTTGAGCAAAAAGCCATTTAAAACCTTGGGTATAGGAGTGCCATAGACTGGAACGACAGATGGCACACACTCTTTAAGCATCACTGCCACACAGAGTCTGTCCCAAATTCTGATGGAGCCTAAAAAGGATGAAAGCAGGTGAAAATGAGAGTGGCTCTATCCGAGCATCCCTTGTGGGACCTGCCGTGCCCAAGCAGACCCAGGCAGCCCAGGCTGGAATTGCAGCAAACTGGGCTTTGCTCCAAACTTGTGACAGTAAAGCTTTCTCAGTTCTCAGCCAGCTTTGTCTCCCTTCCTGCTTTACCTCTTGGCTGCTGTCTAAAGAAGAGGTACCAGTCCAAGAAAACACTTCTAGGTAGCTTGTAAACACTGATTAGAGGAAAGTCACGCCTGGGTGATGACTGCATTCTGCATCCAACTTAACTTCTGTGTCAGGCGTCATCTCCTGCCAAGCACAAGCAAATGTCTTCAGAGATGAATGGCACCAAGAGTTTGTCTTGGACCACATAGGTTCAGATCCTCGCGTGGAGGCAAAATACAGTGGATCACCTTGGGCTAGTCGTCCCGCTTCCTGACTTACCTCTGTGGGGGCTTGTGCAGATAAAATGGGATCACCTCCCTGCTCCCCCCTCGCAAAACCCTTTGTATTCCTAAGCCTCAAGGGACCCCTTCCCAACCCTCCTGAGTGAGAAGGAGGGAGAGGCATTGTTGTTCTTCCCTCCGCGGGAGTCCTGCCTTCTCCTTGGCGGGGGGTGGGGTGGGGTAGGCGCTTTCCCTCAAGAAATTCAAAGTGCCCAAGATGAGCAGCCACCTCTTCCCCCTCTTAGAGGGATGCTCAATCCTAAACCCGCTTACGCAGAAAGAAGTATTGTGAAGGCAAAGGGGTTTCATTGTGTAACCCGGAGCGCATCGACTCCCATTAGGCGCTGCGGAACTTCCTCGCGTGGAAACATGCTTAAGACCGGGGGGGGGGGTTCATGTTTGCCACTGCATGACTCTCCTTCGAGTCTCTCCCTCTCTCCCCCCGCGCTCCTGTGGCGCCCGGGCAGCGCGAAGTTCAGGCAGCCGCCGGAGCCGGAGGAGGAAGCGACCACAGCAGGTGGCTCTCTCTCCGGAAAGTGCAGCCCAACCGTCCGGGGAAAGGCATTTCGGAGGCAGGGAGACCCTGCCCAGCTGGGGCTGCCTGTCGAGGACCAGGAGTCGTCCACTCGACTGGTCTAGCAAACCCAAGACGCAGAGATTGTCCCTGCGCCCCTCACCAGGGCATCGGGGCGCCTGAGAAGCCTGCCTTCCCAGTGGGTTCCCCCGACAGCCGCTTACCTGGGAGCAAGTTCAAAGGGGACTCGCTTCTGAGCAGATGCGCACACGAGGGCGCTGTCCATGGGGCGTGCCTGGAGGAGCCACATATTCCCCAAACTTCATTCAAAGAGTCGCCCATTCGCCCTCAGATCCCCCCCCAGCCCACCCACATATGATAGGCTGCTCCCACTCCGGGACCCCCGCTATTGCTCTCTATTTTCGCTTGGCCCAATACTTTGGAGAGGAAGGCGGCGGCACTCGGGAGGTCCTCGCCGTGCGCCTCGACGGCACGCGCCCCCGGTGGGGGAAAGGTGCTCTCGGGAGCCTTACCTGAGCCGAGGAAGCTGCTTCAGCCGCCGAGTTGGAGGGAGCCGAGCGCAGGCATCCTTGTCCCTCCCCCGGGCGCGGCCGATCCTCGCCTCGGGGCCCCTGCCTTCGGTGGGGAGAGCTTCAAGTAGGCGGAGGGTCAGCGTCCGGGAAGCAGCGCCGCGGCGCAGGCGGAGCCAGAGCTGGAGATGCGCCCTTGCGCGGCCGAGAGCGGCGCTGCTCCGCACAAGCCTTCAGCTGCAGCAAAGCTTCCCTTCGCTTGCGAGCCGGAGACCCCCGCCGAGCGGAGTGTCCTCTCCTCCCGCCTCCCCTCCTCCCCCCCAGGGGGGGAACTGCGCCGCCAAAAGGGGGCTCCGGCTGCCTCTCTCCGACTCTCCCTCTGCCCCAAGCCAGACACTTGGCATCTCCCCTCTAACCATCTTCTCCCCTCCCATTTCTCCAAGCCCCCCCCCCACTCCGCAGCCCGCCCACCCTCACTGCCGTGGCTTTTTCCTGGTCAACAATATGTCATAAGATCAGACAGGGCGGCACGGAATGTGAGAGAACCACCAGCTTGATTCCAGCAATAAGATTTGTTTTGTTTTGTTCCAGATCTGAGCCCTTCATTTCTAAACCCAATCTGATGACTGGGAGATATTTGAACAGCCCAGTCCCTAGGCTTGTTTACTCTCAGGCATAAGACTCGCTGTCTTCCATGGGATAGTTTCTCCGAGGTAACTGTGCAGAGGATCGCAGCCCCAATGCCTCATCTGTATATTTTCGGAACCATTTAATTTATACCTATGCTTATTGGGGGGAGTTAAATAGGACAGCATCTCTAATCGATCTATAGTAATAGATGGATTTAAAAAATAATAATTAAAACTGTATTTATTATAACGTGTTCTTACTTGGGGCTGCCAAGTAAGGGGCTGAGGAACTAGCTTAACTGCCCAGGTTCAGCTCCAGATGTTCTCGCCTGGTCTGAGACCGGTTGGGGTTTTGGGAGCGGGGAGGGCTAGGCAAATTTGAATTTGTGCGGCTAAGACTGAGGGATGGTTTTCCTTTTTAAAATTGTGTTATCTTCAATACACTTCCAAAGGTTCCCAAAGCAAACAGTAAATTAAACTGTTAATTTGAGCCTACAATCTTAAATACAACCGACAGGGAATAAATCTTACTGAACTCAGTGGAACTTATTTCTGAATGGACATGCATGCGATTGCCCTGTAAGCTGCAAGCCTATGAGCAGTTACTGGGGAGTAGGGCCCACTGAGCAGAATGGGGCTTACTTCTGAGTAAACATACCTAAATTTGGGTTCCGCCATAATCTCCAATCGATTTGCAGTGCTAATGATCAAGCAAGGATATGAAGAATGCACTTGTCACTCAGTCTGTGTGCCCAATGGACTGATACACAAACTACAGACCATTTTTAAGACCTTTCTTCCCATGTTCTGCACCCCAAGGTGGGTGAGAGACTTGGGATTTTGTGAAAAGGGCCAACTGGATTCCTCTGTAATTGCTGAAAACCTGCTGAGCATTCACCAGATTACCCCTTACTGTGATGCTGTATTAGTCTGGTAGATAAGGGAGTGGTTGAGGGCTAATTTACCCACTCCGTGGAATCTCTCTGCCAGTAAAAATTAAGAGATGCTTCCGCTTCCACTCCCCGCACCAGTCTGATTTTTGTCTAGTCTGAGTAGAAATGTTTAAATCCCTGTGGTATTGAGCAAGTGACATGCTCTCCCACCCCACACTGAGGAAAAAGAAAAGACACCACAGGGCAGCCTTTGCCAACCTGGCGCCCTCCAGATGTCGTTGGACTACAGGTCCCATCAGCCCCAGCCAGCGGGGGCTGATGGGAGTTGTAGTCAAAGAACATCTGGAGGGCACCAGGTCCATAGGGGAACTTCCATACAGAGGAGCGCTTGATTTTGTGCACTTGAAACAGAGCAACATGACGACAGTCTTGCTGGATCAAGCAAAGATGAGGCTCGTATTCTGCCTCTGATAGCCAGATATCCCTGGGAGGTTTGCAGAAGTTGTGATGATATATGGACAGTAAATTGGGCACCAACAACTTTCAGAATGGGTTAAGTTATATGCACAGAGGATGGAACCATCAGTAACAATTAGCTATGTCAGCTAAGTGGAACCTCAGTGTTCAGAGCCAGTGCAACTCTCTGCTTGCCAGATGCCAGGGGCAAAAGCAGGGCACGGTGGCCATAGAGACCCTAATTGATTCACTTTCAGCATCTGCTCACCAGGTGTTGCCACAGAATGTGGAAATTCCCCTTTTGGATAGAGATTAGTTTAGTGATATGCAGCATATGGTCTCCATGATTAAGATATCACGGTCAGACCCTGACATCTCCCATTTAAAGGATCAGGTGGTAAGTGATGAATAGGGACTGAGCTAGACTGGTAGAGAAAAAGTGATTTATATGCATTGTATGTGTGATAGAACATTGTGCCACAAGATGGCGACGTGGAGTCCAGTTTTCCTCTACCCGTTTTCCCTGTTTAAATTTACAACACTGGAACGTTTCTTTGACGTCTCTAGATACAGCCAAAGAACACTGGATCTGAGATGCTGAGGTGTCACCGCCAGAAAAAAATTATCAGTATGGACCAATGAATATCAGGGGCCTACCAATGTGGTGCCAACAGGTACACAGGCAGTTGCAAAGGCTGCCCCTGGGGCCCACAGTGTCTCCCCAAACAGCTGAAATTAGGCTTGAAAGAAGCATTTTGGTGCAGTCAATATAATAGGCTGTGGTGTATGCTTGGCTGTGTGGTGTGTGTGTGTGTGTGTGTGGTGCCCACAACAGTTCCTCCAGTGTGCAAACATGCCCACAGACCCCCAAAAGGTTGGCATCGCCTTGCACCATAACTATAAGGCAACTTTGTATGTTCCTATCACAGTCCTAGCTCTCATATCCACGGTAAGACTCTGTCCTCCATAAATTTAATGCAACCCTTTCCTAAAGTTGCCTTCAGCATCATCACAACTTTTGAGAATCCGTCTCATAAGTTAAATTATGCTTATTGTGCGAAGAAGCGCTTCATCCTGTCTGCCTGTAACCTATCCCCAATCAACTGTGTTGGGTGACTCTTCTTCCTACAATTGCAAGAGAGGGAGAAAAATGCCTGCCTGCCCACCTTGCGGGTCCTCTTCATCCATCATTCCATTCATAATACCTGGAAGCAAGCCAGGGAGACTGTGCCTGATCCTCGGTGCTGATTGTTGTCTGTCCAAAGAGCAGACTGGCAATGAGCATGATCAGCTGGGTTGGATGGCAGAGTCCCAAACAGCAAATGCTGCAGAAAAAATCTGGAGCTAGAAGCTGGTACCTCTTTCTTGTAATACTTACGGTCTAGCGCTACATCAGCCCTGGGCTCTGCTACCATCTGGAGAGGCCCTAACTTGACAGTGTATGATATTTCTCAAGGCAAGCAACACTTGCCCCTTCTGGTACATCAGCTTTGCCATCAAGCAGCCCCTGGGTCCATCTGCAGCTCTTTCCGCTTCCTCTCGCTGGAGAGATTAGCCTGGAACCTGGACCAGACCATCAACTGCCAAGGGGGCGAAAGACTGTGCAGATCAGCGAGAGGGGCTGCTTGTGTGGGGGTTAGCCTCTTTATCACCAGCCAGCCCCAGAGTCCATCTGCAGCTCCTTCTGCCCCTTCCATCTGGATGAAAAGACTGGCATCTGTACTGTGCCAGCAGCCGCCAGGAGCTAGAAGAGGCTGCTCCCCTCTAAAACACAACCACCCCTAAATTGCACCTTCACATGGATTTTAAGTCTAAGCCACTTTGCAGGCCAGTCTTGGCTGAAAGGCCGGGTGTATCCAACATATAATAACTTATCACTGTGTAGCAGTGCTCTGGTATCATGTCTAACAAAGCCTCTTTGAGGGTTTTTTTTGCCATCCACCCCTCTGCTTGGTTCTGCGCAAACTCTTTCAAGGAGTTTTGATGTGTAAATTTACTCCTGCGTAAGCTTCAACAATATTCCTTTCAATTTTATTTTTGTTTGATTACTCATTTTAGGAAATGATAATTTTGTAGTCATTTTAAGTTCCATGTAAGGTGAAGAAATGCTTTTTGCCAGTCCAAAGTAGAAAGTGCCCTTCTATTACAATCCTAATGCAGCCGGGCTGACCAGAGCTTGCTAGGGAACTGCCTCTGGCAGGAAAAATGCTCACGCACCCCTTACTTTCCTGTGTGTGGAACATGCATAGTCTGTAAAATGACTCAACCTTAGTTATTTAAATACACTCAAAGTTCTGCAGGGATCATAGAATCATAGAATTGTATAGTTGTGGAAGGGACCCTAGGGATCATTTAGTCCAACTGATTCTATTCCTCAGCTTCCCTCCCCTCCCTCCCTCCAGAATTTCTTTCTCACACAGTAGCAAACACACAGGGGATCCTATCTTCTGCTTCACTGGGGAGAGCCAAGCAGCCTCTCCAGATTTTCCAACTCTCCCTCTCTCTGCATCGAATTGTAAATGAGCCTTCTTCAGCTTCATGGGGAAAGGGAAAGGATGGAGCTTGTGACTGCCAGTTCACTTTTTCATCTTTCTGCTGGCTGAAGCCCAGATTTGATGGAAGGTTGGGAGCCTCAATGGCTGCCCAGACACTGAGGTCCAGCTCCAAGGGCCTTCTGGCAGTTCCCTCCCTGCAAGAAGTGAGGCTACAGGGAACCAGGCAGAGGGCCTTCTCAGTAGTGGCGCCCACCCTGTGGAACGCCCTCCCATCAGGTGTCAAGGAAATAAACAACTATCTGACTTTTAGAAGACATCTAAACAGGCAGCCCTGTTTAGAGAAGTTTTTAATGTTTGATGCTTTATTGCTTTTTAAAAATTATTATTCATATTCTGTTGGGAGCCACCCAGAGTGGCTGGGGAAACCCAGCCAGATGGGTGGGGTATAAATATATTATTATTATTATTATTATTATTATTATTATTATTATGGCTTCACCCTGGCTAGACCCTCCCCTAGCTATGGCTCTGCTTTTCCACAGTCCTACTTATGCCCCCCACCTATCTTTTTTCTCTCCAGCACTCTCAAATCATCCTAGGGCACAACACCTCCCACGCTATAGGGCTGCTTTACACACTACAGGTTTTAGATTTATGCCTAACAGGATAACTAACACATCACATGCAAATGCTAGTGTAAGTTGTAGGAGGTGCTGATTTCTAATAGAGAAGCAGGGTGAGGACTGTGGGGGGAAAGAGAAGTATGAAGCCATGTCTCTGGCAACTGCTTCTCCATTCCAAATGGCCCTTTTGACATTTTGTGCCAGAAAAAGGCACCTTCCTATGTTCCTATTTAAGGGGCTGTGGGTGACGTCAATTGCCCCCAAACCCAAGACCTCTGCTCCACCTATTGTCTTTTGCATTCAGAAAGGTTTTTTTC